TGGGAACCATTCTAAGAAGACATGGGGTGTCTTTTCATTTTTACGCTGACGATACCCAAATGTATCTACCTATTAAGAGAAATTATCCCTCTGCTTTTACTTCTTTAATAAAATGCTTAGATGAAGTAAAATTTTGGCTAGCCCACAATTTTCTATCCTTAAATGAAGATAAGACTAAGGTGATTGTTTTTGGGCCCTCTGATAATTCTCAGGCAACCAGCTTAGATCTGGATAGTTTATCAGTGTTTAGATCTTCACGTGTACGGAACCTGGGAGTTTTGTTAGATGAGTCCTTAAACCTTGATAAACATATCTCCTCTGTAATAGGTTCTAGTTTTGATCAACTTCACCTGTTATCAAAAATCAAACCTTTCTTAAATCATAAATCTTTAGAAATGGCTGTTCATGCTTTTATCACCTCACGCTTAGACTACTGCAACTCACTGTACTGTGGTAGTTCTAAGTCATCAATCGATCGCCTTCAACTAGTTCCAAATGCTGCTGCCAGATTCCTTCATAATAGCCGCAAAAGTGCTCACATCACTCCAATTCTGCCGACCCTTCATTGGCTGCCTATTAAATTCAGAATTGATTTTAAAATTATTTTATTTGTATATAAATCTTTAAATGATCTAGCCCCTATTTATTTATCTGAATTACTATACCCATATACTCCATCCAGACGCTTAAGATCCAGTGATCAGAATCTTCTTCTAGTCCCACAATCCAGGCTCAAACGTAGAGGGGATCGTGCTTTTTCAGTGGTTGGGCCGTGGCTGTGGAATAGCCTCCCTTTAGAGATTAGACTTGCCCCTTCTCTGTCCACTTTTAAATCTCTTCTAAAAACATCTCTGTTTTGTTTGGCTTACAAAAAAATTTCTATTATGGTCTTTGCTTAGTCTTTTATGAGTTTATACTTCGTTTATCTTGTGTTATTAATATATTTACTTATTTTATTATTAAGGCGAGACCCTGTTTAATTGTGTAGCTGTGCAGATTTGTGTGATACAGTGTGGCTGTTTTATATGTGCTATATAAATAAACTGAAACTTGAAACTTAAGGCAAAAAACTAAACAAAAAAACATTTAAAACACAAGAAACTTGTACATGTCCGATGATATTTTCGGGGCACGACAATTTTTAAGTCATCTCAGTGAGGAGTAGAATAGTTTAAATTTGTTCATGAAATGAACAAAGCAGGGGCGAGAGTCTCTCCACTTACAACAATGTATATGATATTTGGCAAGTAGGAAAACAATATTCACAATGTCTGACATTGAATTATCTAAATCATCAACATAAAACAGGATATGGTTGATGTTAAATACAGGGATGTTTTGACATTTTTAGATTCAGCCAGTCTCTAACATCACTCCAGAACTGGCATGAAATGGAGCATCTAAAAAATAAGTGTTCTAGAGATTCAGGGTGATGAATCTGTACTGAAGGGGGAAAAAAAAAATAATTGTAATGCCCCACCCACCCCAGAGGATCAGAGCCCAAGCTTCAGCTGGCGCTGCGTGTTCAGCTCCACACTGTGCTCCTCAACCTCCGAGATGGGCAGAAGCATCATGATCCTCATCCTCAAACATTAAATCCTGCGGTCTAATCCAGTAAGCTGTAAAAATGTTAAAACCACCTTAAACATCTGACTATCACTCAAACCCTTTCCCAGAAGGTCCACGACACTCACTGGTCTGTTCCTTATATTGCTAAAAAGACTGTTACGCTGATCTTCATATTTACTACATTTAAAGAGCACATGCTCTACTGTTTCAAAAACATCACATTCATCACACATACCATTTTCATGCTTCCCCATTAATGCAAGTGTAGAATTTAGTCCTGCATTACCCATCCTTAATCTAGAAATCATTACTTCTTCCTTTCTGTGTCTTCCATAAAACAGTTTTTTTCCCCTACTGATTTTACAATATTATAATACCACCTACCTGTGCTGCTATTTTCCCAAATTTTCAAATTATCTTTGTTGCCATATTCTTATTATTTCCCTATTAATTACTGATTGTATCTCATTTCTTCCCAGAGGTACCTAAACATCCACCAAGTTTTTCTTTAAAGCTTCTTTTGCTAATTTATCCGAGCACATGCTCTACTGTTTCAAAAACATCACATTCATCACACATACCATTTTCATGCTTCCCCATTAATGCAAGTGTAGAATTTAGTCCTGCATTACCCATCCTTAATCTAGAAATCATTACTTCTTCCTTTCTGTGTCTTCCATAAAACAGTTTTTTTCCCCTACTGATTTTACAATATTATAATACCACCTACCTGTGCTGCTATTTTCCCAAATTTTCAAATTATCTTTGTTGCCATATTCTTATTATTTCCCTATTAATTACTGATTGTATCTCATTTCTTCCCAGAGGTACCTAAACATCCACCAAGTTTTTCTTTAAAGCTTCTTTTGCTAATTTATCCGCTGTTTAATTTCCTAGTATCCCGATATGTGCCATACCCAACAAAAGTATACGATTATATTCTCTGTTTTTAGTCTGTACAGTAATGTATAAATTTCTACAAGCAGGTCTTCTCAATCAGTTTTTGTCGACAATATACTTTTAAGAGCTGATGAAGAATCTGAGCAATTTCAGTCGGCTTAATCTGTTCTACCCACTGCAATCCTACTATTACAGCAGTTAATTCTGTAGAATATACGGACAATTTGTCACTTAAAGGGGTCATATAATGCTACATGCACTTTTACAAGTTGTTTGAACTGAAATTTGTGTTGGCAGTGTGTGTACACAACCACCCTATAATGATAAAAATCCACCCAGTGTTTTTTTGTTAATCTACTAAAATCTTTACCCTTTCTCAAATCGAGCCGATCTCAGATGCCTGTCTATGTGACGTCACACAGACAGGCCCCTCCCACGATAGTTTGATTGGCAGTAGCGTTTCAGCACAGACTGGACTGGCGTCTTACCTTAGACCCACCCTGAGTGAGCTGTCATCAGTCTGCCATTGTTTCACCGCCGGAGCAGATGTAGACAAGAATGACTCCTAAGCGATTGAGGTGTTCTGTTGTTGGATGTAATAATGAACATAGCAGTCGTCATTTACTCCCGACATCTGAGCTGCTGAATTTGCAGTGGATTATGTTTGTTTTTGAAGGGAATGCCCCCCCCCAACACTCAGAAGTAAGTGTAAGGTTTTTTTAACGAATCTTTGCAAATCGCCTTTCCTAATAATATGCTAATTAGCAAGTTTCACAATGAATGCAGCTAAAGTAAACAGTCTCTCTGAGCAGCTGGGAAGAGAGGGGCGGGGTCAGCAGAGCTCATTAACATTTAAAGGAAAATGCTACAAAATGGTGTGCTCTGAAAAGAGCTGATTTTGATGGTAAAAAGTGTGTTTTTCACACTACCATTGAGAAATTTTAACCAAACTATGTTACAGACTTTTCATTAAGACCCTAAAGAATCATATCAACTTGTGGAAAATGGGCATCCTATGACCCCTTTAACCTTAAACTTATTTTCGTCTTAAATGCCCACTTTTTGTTTGATTGGGTCTTTAGACCCATCTGTATAGATCTGTATAAAAGAATAAACATTTTCTCTCATAAAAACATTGATTTCATAACTATTAGTATATCTTTCTTCAGCTTTTCCCCGGGCCTCCAACAATCTCTTTTCAACACTGGGTTCAGGAATACCCCATTTAATGGCATGTTGGGACAGATTTCTTCATTCTCCAGACCATAATCCTTGACCCACTGTTCATACTTCCAACCAAAACTATTCCCTCCATTATTTTTATATTTCCAACTCATGTTAGGTCTCTTATATCTCTTCGTAAAAAAATAAAAAATAAATAAAAATAAACCCCTCCAAATCACTACTGATCGATTTGCATTAGTCGCTGTGCTACAGGAGAATTATTAGTATTATTCAGACCGTATACGACTAAGTATAGTTATTACAGTTATTACCCATTCTAACTAATACTAATGAACACCAATTGTATCATTGATTATTATATTATTTAGGCATATATTACTAATAACAGGATTTCCAAAGTCATAGAAAACTTGGAAACATAGAACATAGAAAACATAGAAAACGGAAATTAATAACATCTTAAAAGGTTGTAGACATTTTTAATAACGATTTAAAAACAATCGTTATAAAATATTTAATTAGCTATAAATTACACATTGTAAGTGTGATCTATATAAAATGAAAACTGGTCTGTCATTCTGCTCTATCACTGAGGGCATAGATTTTTTTTATTAAATTAGATTTTTGATGTTATAGCAAACGTAAATCTGGCCTACTTTACAATTAGGCTTATATTTAAAAATAAAATAGATGAGACAGATTCGTCCGCCTCTTGGCAAAATAAATGTTTTGACTGAAATAAAATTTTTTATTATAAGTAATAATTAGGGAATTAGCCTATGGGAATTTAGAATTGAATAAAGCTTGTTTTGCCTTGACAGCAGGGGGCGCTATAGACTAGCAATACTACAAAAACTGTAAAGATACAGATGAGTCAAGGTGAGTCAAGATGTGCTGTCAAAAAAGTTCACAAGAACCTTCACACTACACCCTGTATGTTCAATTGCAATTCCATGTTATTCTTACATGGAGCTGCTTTCCCCTTTTCAAAGAGAAAATATATGCAATATGGTGGGCAAAACAGACTTGTTGTAGAATGTAGAGGGAACTTTCTCTCAATGCTTCTTACAGGATGAGAATAACTTTTACTGACCTCCATCACCCTCTATAATTAATAAATTCTTACATCGGCTGTCATTTCCTTTTTAGGTTCCTGTTTAAGGTGTTGTTTAAGTATTAAAAATCATCAGCAGAGTTTCACTAAATAAACATTATGGACTTCGACTCTGCCTGCCATGATTTAAATCATATCAAATATACCAAACAAACATATTTTTGTTCAAATTTAAGCAAAGAATAAAGGAATTAAATACAAGCACAGATTTAGGGAAGCTTTCCACCATGGAACAAGGATATCCGTTTACTGATGCAAGCTTAAGTACTGTATATATTAGGCCTGTTGTGGAGTAAGACTGATACTTACTGATACATATAAAAAAGTGCTTTCTTCTTAGATAAAATTGCTAAAGGGACAAAAAATGTTTTACATCAGCACATTATTGCAGTTGCTTTTATCAGGTGAGTTTTTGTATTTGAGTATTTTTTTTATTTATAGATTATGTTATTGACTAAATAGAATGAGATTGAGTGGTTCTCAGTCTGTTTGACTCTATGATAATATAATAAGGCAAAGCTATTTCTGCTGTAATGACTGCTCAGTAAAATATTTAAGAGCTTGGTATAATTACATAAATCTATTTCATTCTAAAAAATTCCATGACTTTTCCATGTCTGGATTTCACACTTTTAAAACGACCATGTTTCCCAGCGTAGAAATGATAGTTGCTCCAAAAAAATAAATACAAATAAAAATAAGAAAAATGTCTATTCTGTAGCTGATTTAGCTTATTTTGAAGCTTCATAAATCATTTTAAGCCATTTTGTGGCCACTAAACAGTTTGCTGCTGTACATTTTGGTCAGATCTGGTCACTGATAGTCTATAAGAATCTTCATTTTAAGTCTAGACTCCAAAAAACAACAAGGAGTAATAGTGACTTATTGAAATCTTAACAAACATTTTTTGTGTGTTTAGCTGCTGTGGCTTCATGGTCGGTTTCATACTACTCTAGAAGCATATGTGCATTCGAAAGATCATCTGTGGATTTCAGCTGCATGTTTGACTGTTCGGATTATCACATACTTAAAACAAAATATTGGTTCAAACCAGAAGCTCATCAGAAACAAGACGGATCACAGGTGGGAATATCTGTCTATAACTCAGAAGCAGCAAAGATTCACCAGCTGTACAAAAACAGAACAGCTTATGCAAACCGAGACAAAAACTGCTCACTGCAGTTACACAATGTCTCCAAAAGTGACACTGGAATGTATTTCTTTCGCTTTGAAACATATTCCTCTCGTGGAAAATACACTGGACCGGGTGGCATAAACCTCCGTGTAGCAGGTAAATGAAAGGCTATACTTGTTCAATGAGAAATAAAATATCAGCAAATCACTATCTCCAGTATATACACTCTTAAATTTTTTTTGTAGTGATATTGTACAATAACCATTTTTGGTTCCTCAAAGAACCTTTCAGCAAACAGTTCTTAAAAGAACCATTTTTTCCCTTAGTGTTAAAACATTTGAATAATCTGAATAACATTTTTCCACTATAAAGGACCTTTTGAGCAATGGAAAGGTTCTTCATGGAACCATCAGTGCCAATAAAGGATGGGATGATGATAGTCTTTTTAGTTTTTAAACAGGTTTCTGGTTACATTTCATTAATCGACATTACCTTTAACAGTTCTACCCTTTAGAGTAACAGTAAAAACAAAAAAGGTGAATGAACACATCCATGAAGGAGACTCTGTGACATTGACATGCAGCACAGAAAACTGCACCCCAACACAAGAGCCGTTCGCCTGGTTTAAAAACCAACGTCTGATTCCAGAAGCCACTGACAGTGTGCTCCAAATCACCTCT